CTAACATTGATGCCTTGCTCAACAGTCACAGTCAGGACGACTGTTGTCTGTAGGAGAACTGGAGCAGAACCCCAGCAGCCACCAGGGGGCGTGTCCACGGCTCTCATTGGCCAGTTCATCGTAGGGCGTCACACTGACATTAACGCTGTGTTGACAGTGAAGAGTTCACCACTGCTGGGTGTGTGAGAACCCCCCCCCCCCACACACACACACCCCAGGACAACATGCAGCCTCCTCCCCCATCAGTTAGCCGTGGGAATTGAACCTGTGATCTTTTGTTGTAAAGCAGAAGCTCTAACCACTGAGGTACTGTTCTCCACTTTAACCTGCCGTTGGACTTTCACTGTGGGTTTCACCCCTCCCACACAAACGGGGGGGCCGGGGGGGGGGCAGTTCTCTAGGTCAGATCAATTGTCTGTTACACTGATACGTATTACAGTTTGACCACAGACAGTTTGACCACAGACAGTTTGACCACAGACAGTTTGACCAATGGCACTGATGGTCATCACTCTGGAGCTGAGCACAAGAACAATCAGAACCAATCGGTCTGTGCTCAGTCTGTGCTCAGTCTGTGTCAGTCTGTAGTCAGTCTGTGTCAATCTGTGGTCAGGCTGTGCTCAGTCTGTGGTCAGGCTGTGTCAGTCTGTGGTCAGTCTGTGTCAATCTGTGGTCAGGCTGTGCTCAGTCTGTGGTCAGTCTGTGCTCAGCCTGTGGTCAGTCTGGGTCAGTCTGTGGTCAGTCTGTGTCAATCTGTGGTCAGGCTGTGCTCAGTCTGTGGTCAGGCTGTGTCAGTCTGTGGTCAGTCTGTGGTCAGGCTGTGTCAGTCTGTGGTCAGTCTGTGTCAATCTGTGGTCAGTCTGTGCTCAGTCTGTGTCCGTCCGTTGTCAGTCTGTGGTCAGTCTGTGCTCAGTCTGTGCTCAGTCTGTGGTCAGTCTGTGTCAGTCTGTGCTCAGTTTGTGTCAGTCTGTGCTCAGTCTGTGTCAATCTGTGGTCAGGCTGTGCTCAGTCTGTGGTCAGTCTGTGCTCAGCCTGTGGTCAGTCTGGGTCAGTCTGTGGTCAGTCTGTGGTCAGTCTGATGGACTCAGCTCAGTGCAGACGTTCACTCTCATCACACGCTCAGATTTGGTCACTTTTGATTTTGATTCCTGTTGTTTTTTTTCACTTCCCTGAAAAACTGCACAAAACTGAGGCTGTGAAGAAGACCAGTATGTGTGTGTGTGTGTGTGTGTGTGTTACCAACCTGTCACAGCTGGTTACACTAACAGTAAGACAAAGGGCTAACGTGCTAACGTGTCACTGGTCCAACACAGAACTGGTCCAAGACGTCTCAGAAGGTTCCACTTCATCTCTGAGCAGGAAAATCAGACACCAAGACCAAAGTCCTGGTCTGGGACCTGGTCTGGAACCTGGTCTGGGACCTGGTCTGGGACCTGGTCTGGAACCTGGTCTGGGACCTGGTCTGGGACCTGGTTCCTCTCCCTTCGTTCCCACTCACGTCATTCACACATGAAATGTTTTGTGTAAAAGCCAATCCAGTGAGCACAGCTGTCGCCCCCTGTGGGCCACAGATGACTCTGCGAGCTGCTCACACTCTACACAGATAAGATAAGAAAAATGAGGTCACAACATCATGGGGAAAATATTTCAGAGCCTACAGGAGCAGGGTTCAGGACTGGGTTCTTATAGGATGATGAAGCTGTCAATCATACGCCAGGTCTGTTCAGTAAAATATTTGACCACTGCCCCCCACCACAGTCAGCAGGGGGCAGCTGTGAGCTCAGAGCACCTCAGTGGTAAGTGCTGGACTCCAACCTGAATTTTACCTTGACCTCTACTCAAACCAGGTCGAACCAAAACCAGCGGCCCGAGTCAGTGAATGGACCGAGGTGTTTCACTGCACTCGAACCCGTGTCAGGTCTCTCCAGTCTGGGTGTGTCAGCAGCTGGTGGTCTGAACAAACTCCACTCACTGTCCTCTACTTCTACACCAGGGTTCGGGGAAGACAAGAAAAGAAACGGCAGACGGTGGAGCCGTAAACCTCCCTGCCCCGGGTGAGGTATGCAGCGGCGGCAGTGTTGCGAAATCTTCAGGCTGTTGTCTGTTGTCTGTAGTCTCAGGACTGTTCACAGACAAAGGCCCAGAGTGGAGAAAAAGAAAAAACCCAGGAGAGAGAAACAAGCAGCAGCAGCGACCAGACGGACTGGTCCACAGAGATGGACCGTCACTTTAACGACCGCTCCTCTGGTTCGGCTCGGACTCAGCTGTCAACTCACCCACAGATCGGTTCCCCAGTCCATGTCCGCCGAGGAAATCCAGGAATCCTCCCTGAGAGTGGAGCGAGCAGCGGCGGACCAGGTGTCGAAGAAAGGACCGGGGTTTATATTAAAATAAGACAGAAAACAGGCAGAACGGAAAGACAAACCAAACAAGAGAAACACCAACAAAAAAAAACAAAAACAAACTACGAACGAACTAAACTTCACTCAACTTTAGGAGCGTTGGAATCGCAGGAAACGTTTGGAGGAAGTTACCGCCTCCTGAGCAAACAGGAGTGACTACAGCTGAGAGGAGGAGGAGGAGGAGGGGGGGGGGGAGGAGGGGGGGATTCAAAAGTGAAATGAAAACGAATGCAGAGATGGACAGAGGTTTATTAGATCAAATTATTGTTATTTATTTAAAATCAAATCACAAAAACTGTCCATAAACCGGCGGGGCATTTATTAAGACGATATGACGTCATCTTGACGTCTTTGTACAAACGTGGTGATGACAGTGGTCAGGTCATGTGACACGGACAGTATGAAGCGGATCTCATCTTCATGGTGAAGGTCTTCAGTGACAGGTTTCCTTTCCACGAGGTCCACACGATGTTGGTGCTCGTATATGCAATGGCACTACTTGGCCCATAGAGGCCGTTGGGGTTAAGGATGTGGCATTCGTTGTACCAGAATCCTCCCATGTAGTGGACAGCACAGTTTTGGGACCAGGAGTCCTGGTCTCGGTCGTACGTGGTGAACTTCTTTAAATTGTGCGATGTAAAAGAGTCTCCTAAAAAGAAACCAAAGGTTGAGTTTTTTTTTTAGTTCTTACACACGTGTGAATAAAGTGGAAAAAGGAAGAAGGTGATTGAAAACGAACTACTACAAAAATCGATTTTTAAAAACGTACTTTTTCTAATTGAATTACAAAGACCGAGTTTTGTGCTGCATCTTCACCAGTTGGCCAGAGGATGGCAGTGTCTGTGCCCATCATACATGACCTTCATCAGTGTGAGCCTCACCTGCCCCCCCACCGGTGAACTGCCCCAGGTGAAGTTGATATCCGCTGTTTTCAGAATCAACCAGGAAACTGGAGTAGAGCGCCGCCGCCGTCTCCCCGTCCCAGGTCTCCATGTCTACTCTCAGCTCGTTGCTCTTCCTCAGTGTGAGCAGGAAGATGTTTTCTAGACCTGAAAACAAACAAACTGACTGACTGACTGACTGACTGACTGACGGACTAACTTGATGTATTTGCGGTGTAAACTCACCCAGCCAGTATTCAGCAGCTACGTTTCCAAATCCACCTTTGTAGTCCTTCCATGGTCTGAAGAAGTTCTCTGATCCATCCATCCTCCTCTGAAAAACCTGGACAGGAAGAACAACTCCTGTTTAGTGCTTCTAGTGTCTGTGTTTTATGTCAGTCATTGTGATGATTTCAAACCCATCAGAGGACGACTGACCGTCCATCTGCCCCCGTCAGTGTCCATGTCACAGTAGACGTGCAGTGGTGCAGTGGGCCCCCCCGGGAAGATGGTGTACACGCCGCTGGTGCTGGTGTTGTCATTGGTGTAGATGTCACCACAGTCAATGGGCAGGATAAGGTTGGAGTGGCAGTTGACAAAGGTCACGAAGGTCACGAAGGTCAGCAGAGCTGTAGACAATATTACCTGTGGAAAGAATAAAAAAATACTAATACGTCATGTTTCTTTGATTAATTATACTCAAATCTACTATAATTGTTGTTGTTTTTATTATTGTTGTTTTTATTATTGTTGTTGTTTTTATTGTTATTGTTATTTTTGTTGTTTTTATTATTGTTGTTTTTATTATTATTATCATTGTTGTATTATTGTTGTTGTTATTATTGTTGTTGTTATTATTATTGTTGTTATTGTTGTTATTATTATTGTTGTTATTATTGTTCAATAATTGTAATGTTCAATGAAAAAACGAAAACTAAAAACAACTAATGCACACCTCAGTCCGTTAGGGGGCAGTACTGCACCTAATGCTCTGGGTACAGTGACATTAAACGCGTGTCTTAGTGTAGGGTGGACTACACACACTCCACTGTGACATCATCACCTCAGTGTAACATGTGGCTGCAGCACTGACACCAGAGCTAACAGACAGGACAGAGCAGTGGAGCCACTGACCCTCCATGAGACCAGAGCCGCAAAGTCTAAAGATGTGGAACTGCAACCCAGGGGTTTACTGACCACTGACCACTGACCACTGACCACTGACGACTGACCACTGACGACTGACAACTGACGACCGACGACTGAGGACTGACGACTGATGACTGAGGACTGACAACTGACGACTGACAACTAAGGACTGACGACTGATAACTGACAACTAAGGACTGACGACCAACCGCTGATGACCGACAACTGACGACTGACAACTGAGGACTGACGACTGATAACTGACGACTGACAACTAAGGACTGACGACCAACCGCTGATGAATGACAACTGAGGACTGACTTACCTTCACCATGGTCCTGGTTCAGAGCTGGTGCTGGTTCTGGACTCAAGGTGACTCTTGAGTTTTTATATTGTGTGTGTGTGTGTATGTTTACACACACACACACACACACACACACACACACACCCAGGTCGAAGTCCTGTTGTCAGTGAAATGACACCGTGACTGGAGTTTCCCTCCAGTGTTTGTTCAGTTGATTCACTTTAAAAGATCCATGACCAGAAGCTGATGAAACTCCAGAGGACAGGTCTGTCCAACG